TTAATTCTTCCTTTCACTAAATCTTAATTTTTTCCCTTGTCCTTTGTCCTTTTTATTTTTTAAAAATTTATTTTAAAGAGAGTATAGGGGCCGGGGAGATGGCTTAGTAGAATAAACGCTTCCCTGGCAAGCAGAAGACCCTGAGTTCAATTTCCGGTTCTGAAAAAAAAGAGAGAGTATAAAAATAATAGATGAAGCATTAGAGATGATACACATTTAAAAGAGCATGCTGATAGCTGTGAATAAAAATATTCTTCCAGCCATATGGATTCCATGGGGCTAGAGACAACTGTAAGTAGTTGTAGTCAACATTTCAAACTGTGAATTGCTGTTTTCTGTGGACTAGGTTCATTGGGAATTCTTTTGTGCCACAACATCAAGGATTTAAAACTTAGAAAACCAGGCTGGGGATATTGCTCAGGGGCCTGAGTGCCTGCCTGGCAAGCGTAAGGTCTAGAAACTTGGAAGAATCTAGAAGCAAGACAATCTTTCCTGACATTTCTTTTTTCAATTATGAAGCCCCTGTGTTAAGAGAAGACAGGAAAGAAGCAATCTATGTCCAAGAGCCAGAAAGAATGGTAGAAAAGCAGCGATGTTTTCACTGCTTCAAAATGAAAAACGAGTCCATACATGCAGGGAGAGAAGGCAAGGTGTGGCCTGTGTCCCCCGTGACAGGCGTTTGTGCAGAGCCCAGGTGGACGGGTAGGAGCTGCACGGACAAGGGGAAGGTAAATACCACTGCCGTGGCCAGAGCCAGGGACTGCTGAGCGCCTTACCCATTTCACTCACCTACACAGCTGTCCTGCTGGGCAGGGTTTTTTTTTTTTTTTTTGTGGCAGGCTCAGCCTACCATGGAGGTGGGGCTGATGAGGCATGTGGTGCTGGGGATCAAACTGCGGTCCCTGCGGTTGCCTAAGCTTGTCTAAGCAGGTGCTTTAGACCACTGAGCTGTCTTGCCAGCCCTGGGTAGGTTTTTAAAATCTAATTTCTTTTAATTTTTTTTTCTTTTACTTTCATTTATATTTAAGGAAACTGAGTCTCAGATTGTGTCCAAGTCTGAACACATTTCTTGCATATTTTGTTTCTAGACGGGTCTTGGGTTGTGACACAAGATTCAAAACAAGATAGTGTGACTCCAAAACCTATTCTCTTTATCACTTCACACTGCCACTTTGGTATTTATTTTTTAAATGTTTTGAGACAGGGTTTTACTATGTAGCGCAAGCTGGCCCTTGAACTCACAACAGTTATCCTGCCTCAGGCTCCTGACTGCTGCATTTACAGGGGTGCACCACACGCCCTACACACTGTCTCTTTAAATATCCACACTGTATTACCCAGATTCAGATGTAAGGAAGAATAAAAGAGCTTACAGAACGAAAGGGCATAACTCAGTCCATCAGTCTCTTAACTCTGACTAGGCCGCAGACCCTTGGACAGGAATGATGAAAACTGCTTTCAGATAATGTGTTATCTTATCACTTTTTATTTTATTATAAAAAGTTGAGGGCCAGGTGTGCTGCCACAACCCTGTAATTTCAGCGTTTGGGAGGCTGAGGTAGGATTACTGGGAGTTCCAGGCCAGCCTAGGCTATACAGGAAGTTTGAGGCCAGCCTGAACTATGTAGCACAACCCTGTCTCAAAGAAACATTTAACAAGCAAATACACCCAAAAAACCAACCCAGAAAATGAAAAACCCCAAAAGCTTAGTAATGTCAACTTTATCAGAACAAGGCTTACATTACAGATAAAGACAGCACCACTTTACTGTTGTAGGTAGCTGAGTTAGATAGAAATATTATAGGCAGTAGGACAGGGCCAGGCCCTCAAAGGACCCAAAATGGAAGACAAGATACCTTGCAGCTGTGGGAGAGATGGCACTTCTGTTGTGGGCCCAATCTCAAGACAAAAGATTTAACAAATGCAGCCACATACCTCCCTAGGGATGGACCTAAGGGACTAGTATTCTAAACAGGTATCAGTCACCTTGAGGAAGCCAGGAAGAGTCATTAACCCAACCCCCAACAGGAAAAGCCCCTGTTCTGTAATCCTGTCTGCTTGCTATGTGACTCCTCATTTGATCCTGATTTAATCAGTTTTACCTGAGCAATTGTGCTTGTAATCTTAATGGGTGGCCCTAGTTTTTCCTCATGTGTGAGTTCCTGTGTTTCCCACCTTGGGAAACACTGTCTTGCTTTATGATTTTGCTCCGTAAAAATTCTGAGAAAAGGTAGGTTCCTGAGCAACCCACTTGGGTCCTCCTTTGTCACTTTCTCAGACAGAGGCTTTCTTTTCCCCAGTGAACATATTCTGCTCTTAACCTCTACTGTTCCTAAAATTAATTCTTTGATTTTAGGGAACATGAGCTTGCCCCAGATATCTTTCAGGTTGGGATTTTCTTTCCCTTATATCATTACAAGATCTACTTTTCTAAGACAACCCTATTATAAAGACTAATTTTCAGATCCTAGCCCATTTAAAAAGAAGGAAAGAATATAAAATAGTTTAATATGATTTTACCTTTGTGGGCTTATCTTTTATAGAATTCCACTCAGATCTTACTATGATTAGTTCACTCCGTCATTCAAATTCACCAGCTGAGGGGCTGGGGTGATGTCTCAGTAGAATAAGCGCTTGCCTGGCAAGCGCAGGGCCTTGAGTTCAATCCCCAGTACCACAATAAAAAAAAAAAGCAAATTCACCAGCTGAGTCTATAGCTCCATTTCGGGAGAATTGCCATTTTAACATAGTGAACACGACTGTCTCTCCAGTTATTTAGATCATTTTTCAACAGTGGTTTGAAATGTTCAGGGTACAAGTCTCAGACTTTTGCTAAATATGAAAGTCCAGTAGTTCCCCCTTATTCGCGGGAGATATGTTCCCAGGGCCCTGTAGACACCTAAAACCTTAAGTAGTACTGAATCTACAGATACTGTCTTTTCATAGACACATGTAATCTATAAAAGGCTTTCACTTTTTCACTTTAAGAAAGCACTCAGGGTTTCCCTTGGCTTAGCTGAACTCCCAGTATCACCACAGTAGCACTTTGAGGTCATTGTTAAGTAAAATAAGGTTACTTGAACAATGTGAGGACCATCTGAGCAGCTCTCCTTGAAAGAAGAGCAATCCTCTCCATGTTGGCTGAGCCTGACTTATGTCCATGTACTGCTATGCACAGAGCTAGCTAGAACTTTGCCTTATCCCTTCAATTGGCTTTAAGCAGTGCGTATAGGTCAAGCTGAGGTACTGATGGTAGTCTTTGGGGATGGCAGGCGTTTCCCTGATAACCCACACCTGCTGCTCTGTAATATGAGATGGGACCAAGAGCCAATGCTCCATGTTATAGGTTGGGATGAGCCTTGAGATAGAGGCTATGCCTTCCTGGGGCTTGAAAGATGACACATCAGAGATGAAGGACCCCCAAACATTAGATACTATCTCAATTGTGTAATGCAGATTACTCTTTACATATCTTTCTCTCTGCATATTGCAGATGTAAATGCAGGCCTTCTACCCAGCCCAGCTCACAGCACTCACCTATTTCCTGCCATTCTCCAGTCATTCATCCTCAAGCCACTCCTCCTTCATGACTACATAAAACGCAGGTTTGACCCTGGGTCAATGATTTTGTTCCACATCTTTGTGGCTGGATTTAGGACCCCTTGGTTCCCCATAATTGTAAATATGCTTTATTGTCTTTTTTTTTGGTACTAGAGATGGAACTCAGGATCTTGCACTTGTAAGGCAGGTGCTTATGCCACTGAGCTATCTCCCCAGCCCTGCTTTAGTGTCTTTAGTCTCCCCGTGGATTATACTGGAAGTGGTAGATTAGAATTGATGGAATTCCAATAACTTATCCTTGGGATTACAAATATAAATTTCTTGGACCAAGATGGGGACCAGAAAGGGCTCTCTACAAACAAAATCATCAAACCTTGATGAGCAATCTGATAACCAAGAGAGTGATGAGGTGACCAAGGGGGAGTGTGCATGTGTGTGCTTGTGCAGCGTGGGTATGGTGCACAAAGGGGTGAGTCCTGTCTGAGGCAGGATCAAATGAACTTCAAAAGATACCATGATTTTGGAACAAACCAGAAACTAGTCAAGCAAAGCAGATTCCTTATAAAACTCCCAATTTTTAAATTTTCTTTTTTATGCACTTGGTACAGGGTCTCGCTACACGGCTCAGACTTGTAGTCATCCTCCTGTTTTCAGCCTCCCCAGTGCTAGGATTACAGGCCTGTACCACCACTTACTGATATTAAAAATTATGTAATTCAAGCATCAGTATCTTTCATCATTAGGATCAATAACCCCAAAATACCAAACCACTCTATTAAGCATATCCTATTGGATAATTCAATTTTGTGAAAACTTACTCTTCTTTGAGTACTAAGACTCAAACCTACGACTTCACCCGTGCTGCCCATGCACATATACCAGGTGTACCTCCAGCTCATTTATTCCACAATCTCCCCTGCCTTTCTTTTTTCAATTCTGGGATCTAGGGCTTTAATATACTAGGCAAGTGCTCTACCACTGAGTTATATCCCTAGACCCTGCTTACTCATTTTTAATGTTATATTTTGGGAAAATTATTAATTTTGTTTCACCATAACTATAGGCTTGCTTTGGTTTAGATATGGGTTGGTTTTCAAAGGTGCTGGTCCCTAATGTGACAATGTTGAAGGGGTGGAAATTCAAGAGTTGAGATTCCATGGAAATGTTTAGATCTTGAGGGCCCTGCCCTTGGAAAGGACGGATCAACTTAAACCTCAGGAGCGGGTTGTTGCAATGTGAGGCCCGTCCGCGTGCTTAGCCCCTCTCTGCATAGGTCTAGCTCCCTTCTACTTCTCTGCCATGCTGTGACACAGCCAGGGGCCCATACCAGGATCATGCTGTTTGGACTCTCCAGGCACTAAAATCGTGAGACAAACCAACCTCTTTATAAGTTCCCAGCCTCAGGTATTTTGTTATGGTAACACAAAATGAAGGATAATAAGGTCTATAAACTTTAATAAAAAATCTTTCAGAAACACAAAACTCAGAAAGTTTCAATTGTAGAATGTGAATGTCTAGCCTTTGTTTTGAACAGTGAACATTACAGATTTATCTCCATATTCATCCTTTTTTTTCAAAATAAGTTTGTAAATTTTTTTCTCTTCTTGACAAGCTAGAAAGTATCCTTCATACAATGAAGACTCAAACTGCATCTTATCATCATGTCCTGGAACGCTTCTCTGAAAGAATATCATGTCACTTTTTGTGTCATTGATATTATCAGGAGGACTGATTTCCTGGAGAGAAAAAAAACAATTACCTAATTTTTAAAGGATACAAACAATCTGAATACATGCAGCTCATTTACAGGTATACTACTGTACAGAACTAGTTGCTTTATAAGAGATAAGAAAAATAATCTATAACTAGAAGAGTACTGATTGATCCTTAATTCATAATTTTCTATTCTCCCAGTCTCCTCTGATATTATCCTTCATGGAATACACATCCAGATCCAGGCCTTTCATTTCCCCTGTCATCAGATAGCTTCCTTCTCTCCTCTCCAATTGATGAGCATCCACTCTGCTCAAGAAGAAGCGGAGTTCTAGCCAAGCCCACAGCCTCCTGGGTAATGTCAGCTACTATGTTATCTGACCATTCACAGAACAAGATGCTGATGATCCTCTCCCATAAATCTAGGTAGCTCTAGTTCTTGAGTGAACTGTAACAGAGGTCAGAAATGCTAAGAACCTCAGCTACTTTCAGTGGAGTCAAAATAAAACTTAGATTCATGAAAATGAATAGTTCTTCTGGGGCTGGGCCGAGGGGTGGACAGCCCTGCTATACTGACTCAGTCAGGAGCCCTTGATGGTCTCCTGCCAAGCATGCCAGCTCAGAGTAGTCTTGAACTTTGTCCTGATTATAGTCTATTTGGCTAGGGTCTGTCCTGAAAGCCACAAACTGACTTCTGTATTATTCAACCAGAGAACACAGTCTTGTCATGAATGATGTGGTTCCTATACACTATAATCCTGCTAGTCATCTAATCAGTAGGGCCTGCACATTTCCTATTATTTCATCAAGTCTACTATTTAGGACAGACTAGAAAATGTGGGAACTGCCCAGGGTTCTTCCATGTTAATCCTGGAACCAACAGGCATTTTGCACTTAATTTTGATCCCATGAGAGCAAAGATTCCTATTATCCTATGTCTGATAAACTTCTAGAATTAAAATAGCATTCCATCCTCCCCTAAGATGCCTGAAAGACCCCAGGGTGGGGCACCCCTCTAATTTATAGAATTGACAGTTATAACTCTTGACCTCTGTCCTTTACCAACAAGTGCAGGTCCTTAAGTTGATGACTTCACAGTTTCCCAGTGGCATCTACTTCTGAAGCTGTCTATAGTAAACCACAATGTAAGAAAACTCTAAGCTGCAGGAGTCAGCCTGGGACAAAGTCAGGGTCTAATGTATAAATGAGAAGTAACCCTTAGCCAAAATGTCAGAAGCTCTTGTAATTTTACAAAGAAAAATGAATCTGTCAGATCCAACCTAACATGGAAAGTTACAGTTCAAGATGAGAGTATGGATAGATAGCTCTCTTTAGTCTTAATTCAGCTGTTACACTTCAGTGGAAGTCAGAAAACACTGGAGGTTTTCCTTAGCCTTGGTATTGGCTAAAGTCGAACATAACGAATGCATGTGTGGTAATAATACAAGAGACCTTGAAGAACACTCAGTTTGGAAAGCTCTATCTTGTGAAACTTAAGTACTCTAAGGACCAAGGATTCTTTATATGAGGAGTGTTTTGTTGTTGTTTGTTTGAATTCTAAATAAGTCGTAGCATTTATGCCTCTACTAATTTTATGTTCTTGTTCTATAAAAGGGTTGCTAAACTTATATAAGCTTCAAGGGGCCTAAATCTAGATTTCTTTGAATTTCTAGAATGTTCATACATTCTCACAACCTGCTTAACACTCCCACCAATCTCTCCTAACTAAGCTTCCTGCCTATCAGGTCTAGAACAGAGATTCCAAATTATACCCTGAAGGGTTGGCACACAGATTCATGAAAATGAATAGTCTCCTCTGATATTATCCCAGTCTCCTCTGATATTATCCTTCATGGAATAATGAGGAGGTCTGTCTGGAGGCTGTACATGCTGTATTGCACTGTCACTACTTGGAGTACGTTTTAGAGTGGCTTTGTTGGAGTCCCTCCCAAGTTGCTGCCTGGCATCTCCACTGAGGTCCTACCCAACTTTCAGGGAGGGCTGGTGAGTCAGAAGTTAGTTCCTAATGGGCAAACCCTTGCTCAGAAATTGTCTTCAGCACATGGGAGTCTCCTTGCAAGCTTTGTCAGTGTGTGCGCATTCCTCTGGCTGCCTTTACTAGGAAGAAAGTTTTCTGGGTCAGTCTGTAGCTATGGTTAATGGTTGTTTATCAAGTGATTTAACACAGAAAATAGAAAATAAAAGAGAAAGGAGTGGCCACAAATAATTTATACTTAGCTTTGAGATAGCATTATTTTTACAGCTGATCTTGTTAATTGTATTTAATTCATGTTAATAATAACATACATCAACTGAAAGCTGAAGGATATGTCTAAGACTTAGACTGAGAAGCAAGAACAAAACAATTAGGGATTAAAATATTAATGTGATTTACAAAGTAATAGATTTACAAGGCAATTAGCTTTATTCTATGTAGGAGGACTTATTCTGGAAAGTCACATGCTATTAAATAAATATGGAATTTACATATATATCCCATGTAATTATTTACACATAGATTGATTACCCAGCAGAGTTAGGTTATGGGATAAATGTTGTGCTCTTTCTTGCCTGCAACAGGTTCAGAAAAATCCTATTCCCACAGCAGCTTAAAGCATTTGAAAATTTTTTATAACTACCGATTTCTTTCCTTTCTTTCTTTCTTTTTTCTTTTTTTTTTGCAGAGCTGGGGACTGAACTCAGACCCTTGTGCTTGCCAGGGAAGCACTTATTCTACTGAGTCATCTCCCTGGCCCCATAACTACCCATTTCTATGGTCCTGTGTTTCTTGCTCTTCTCTAGCTAAAGGGCTGAACTACTGACGCTATTCAGGGTTCTTTGTCCATTAATTTGACCAAAAAACGAAGTAAGGCTCAATCTTACCTTAAAGGAAATATTTTTGTCCTTACAGGATAGAGTATGGTTTCCGTTACATGTCACAGAGAAGGCTACAGCCATACCTCTAGCACATCTATCTTTATACACATATATGTTAAATGTAGTAGAAGATGCATTTGCTGAAATAAACATTAACAAGCAAGACCAATAGTTAGGAGAATTTTTACAAGCCAATATCTGTGGAAATTCAACCAAACAATATTCCATAATAGACCTGCTGTCAATCTCACATTCTGAGATTTGGCTAGACAGCAGAAGGAGACTATACAGCTTGCTGGACGTTCTTTAATCGCATTTAAGGATGTGATACAACATGCATACAGGGGCCAGGTGTGGTGGTGCACACCTGGATCCCACCACTTGGGAGGCAGAGGCAGGAGGATGGCTGGGAGTTAGAGGCCTAATGAGGCCCTGTATTATTATTATTTTTTTAAATTTATTTATTTATTTGTGTGTGTGTGTGTGTGTGTGTGTGTGTGTGGCCAGCTCAGCCCACCAGGGGGCGGGGCTGGCTGGCATGTGGTGCTGGGGGATTGAACTGCGGTCCCCGTGCCTTGCTAAGCTTGTTCTAAGTAGGTGCTCTAGACCACTGAACCATCTCACCAGCCCCGAGGCCCCGTATTAAAAAGACCAAAAACAATGCATGCAGCAAATTTTTGAGTGTGTTACAAATATTCTAAATGTTAAGATACTTTTTTTTTTTTTGCAGTGATGGGGATGGAAACTAAGGCCTCATGTATGCTAGTCGGGCTCTCTACCACTGACCTATAGCACCAGCCCTGTATTTAGTTTTGAATGCCAAATAGAATATTTAAAAGTATATTTGTTAAAAGCTGGGCATGGTGGCAGGTGCCTGTAATCCCAACACTCAGGGAGGCTGATTCAAGAGAATCACAAATGCGAATCTAGCCTGGACAATTTTTGTCTTTGTCTCAAAGTAAAAAAAAAAAAAAAAAAAAAAAATTAAAAAAAGGGGCTTGGAACATAGATCAGAGGTAAAGCCCTAAGTACAATTCCCCAGTACCAGAAATAGAATTCAAGAATTTTTCAAAAATGTACATTCACTTCTTCAACCTGACCCCAATTTCTAATATTTGCAGCTCATACCTTGTGAGACAGTGAACTTACTCACTTTCCAAGACATTCTAACTTCTGGGGGAAGGAAGACTCATCTGAAATACTTTTGTATTTATTATTATGAGTCTTAAAATTTTTATAGTATTTTCAGCTGATAAAAAATTCAGCTGGGTCATGGGTATAACTTAGTCGCTTAAGTGCCGGCCTTGTAAGCACAAAGTCCTGAGTTTGATCCCTAGTAACCCCCCCCCCCAAAAAAAAAGAAAAGAAAGAAAAATAGAGAGAAAGAAAAAAAAAAGTGTAGGCAGTGGGGCCAGGGATATAGCTCAGTGGCACAAATGCCTGCCTGGCAAGTGTAAGGTCCTCAGTTCGATTTCTGGTACCAAAAAAAAAAAAAAAAAAAAAAAAGTGTAGGCAGTAAACCAGAAGGGGAAGAAGTGATCTAGTCACGTATGAATGTACACACACAAACATAAAAAGAACCACACCTGCACAGTCAGAATCAGGCATCGCCTCAAACACAGGTCGCTTCTCACGATCAATAAAGAGGACTTGGTTTTCCAAATTTCGTATGATTGACAATTTAGGTACAAGCTTGCCAAAGTGATCTGATTCCAGGACTCCTACAATAAACATTAAATTTCATTAAAAATAATTTACTTTCAAAGATAGGGAAGTAGACATACCACACAATTAAGTTTTTAATAGCTATTAATTACAATCTTGCTTAGAAGCAACTGCTATCAAGTTGCCTATTGCTTTCTAACCAGGCCACAAGGACGTGCTGTTTCTCAGTGCCACTCAGCACTACCCTGCCTCTGAAGTGCTCACTTCAAATAGCTTATTTTCTGATGGGTCTCCTGACCTTAGTTTTCATATGTTTTAATTCCAGCTTTATGCATCCTTAGACTTCACTTTCAGTCTCTCTAGTTAATTGGTCTTCCCTTTCTTCCCTGTGCTGCTGAATCTCATGGTTCATTTTTCTGTCAGTCTATTAAATCTCTAACTCATTTTATCTGTCCCCGAGAAAATTCCAAACCTGGCTGCTGGTGGTTGCTGGAGACCAATTATATACACATTCAGGCTGATGCCATTCTAGGCGCATCGATGGCCAACACTGCTTTCCATCTCGCAATCTCTTCTATACTTCATAGCTCCAATTTCAAGCCTTCTTCCCCTCTGCAAGACCTCTACACCATTATCTTTCTTTTCGCTTTCTGCACCATATTTCTTTTCTTGGTTTTACTGTGACAGGGTCTCACTTCGTAGTCCAGGCTGCCCTTGAACTCACCATGTAGCCCAAACTGGCCTCAAACTCATGGCAATCCTCCTGCCTCTGCCTCTGAATGCTGGGATTATAGGTGTGTACCACCATGCCTGGCTGTCTGAATTAATTTCAATGAGCAATGAACACATTTTTATAATCAGAAAAGCATAAAGTTCTTTGAAATTTAAACTTCCGCCGTGAGCCCTAGCCCAGTGTGGAGCCACAGGCTGGCCTCTCTCTTTTATTAGCCAAGTTTCTGGCAAGAATCTCTCTTACTGTTTCTGTGCTATTTATTCCACTACCACACTGTGCTCTGTCTCTGACTCCACTTCTCAATCAAATGCTTTGATAGAAAAGAGTTGTGTGTACCACCCAACTCCCCGCTGCCAACTCTGATGGTTGCTTTCTGGCTCTGGAACTCGAAGGTTGCAAGATTCCACACAGGGCTTTTCGCCTCTGTCGGGAAATGCTCTCCTAGGAGCATGTAATATTTTGTTTTTTAATTCTTCCCCTTGGTTAGGCTGCTGGTTTTTTTTTTTTTGTTTGTTTGTTTGTTTGGTTTTTATTAACTTTTCATTCTACTGCCTTCTTTAACTATCAGTATTCTTCAGACTTCAGTCCTTGGCTTTTTCTTTGGCACTCTTCACATTGTCTCTGTGTCTTTTTGCTCCTACGGCTTCAGATACCATGTCTCTGTATGAGCCTTCTATATGTATCGCTGGCCAAAGTCTGGCCCGAGCTAAGAACCGTATGTCCAAGAGTTTCCCGGGTATCTTCACTACAATACCCCAGGGTCCTAAACTAAACGCATCACCTGTTCTGTTTACATAGGAAAACTTGCTTTTGCTCCCAGGCCTCCTATTCCACTAGTGGTACAAACTGTGTTAAGTCAAAAATGTAGACATCATCTTCCCGGCCTTCCTTTTACAGTCCCTTCCACATCTAAGCCCAAGTCATGTCTTATTGATTCTTTCGAGTTATTTCTAAAATCAACCCACAGCTCCTCACTGTCACCTCGCATCATTTCTTACAGGGAGTAATAGTCTCTCTCCCTCTTGCTCTCCTTCTTCTTTTACTTTTTTTTTATGGCTGGCTCAGGCCTGGTGGGGCTGGCACAGCATGTGGTGCCGGGGATTGAACCACAGTCCCTGCACTTTACCTAAGCTTGCCTAAGCAGGTGTTTTAGACCGCTGAGCTATCTTGCCAGCCCTTCTTTTACTTTTTTGAGACAAGGTCTTGCTATATAGTTCAGACTGGCCCTGAACTCACCATGTAGGCTAGGCTGGTCTTTATTCTCCTGTCTCAGCCTCCAGAGTCCTAGAATTGTAGGTGTATCACACCATACCTCACTAAAATAAGTCTCTTAATAGGTGTTTTTTTTTTTTTTTTTTTTTTTGTTTTGTTTTTGTAACCCATTTCTTATCTTGTACCATAAAAAACGAATTTTTTTTTTTGGTCTCTTTTTTTGAGGCAGGTTTTTGCTATGCAGTTCAGGCTGGCTTTGAACTCACTCTATAGTCCACACTGGACTCAGAACTCTCAGTCATTCTCCTGCCTTAGCCTTCCAAGTGCTGGGATTACAGTCATGGACCACCATACCTAGAGGAATCAAAATTCTTTGTACGGATGCCACAGGACTTTTAAACATACAATCATGTTATCTCTGAATTCTAATAAGGTACTTGTCACCCAAAATAGAAATTCTATTTTCCAGATTTCCTTGCCATTGGCCACATGATTAGTCAATAGAATATGAGCAGACTACGTATGTACAGCTTCCAAGTTCAGACTTTAAATGGAATGGGTCTGTTTTCCTCCTCTCTTCACCCTTTCTTGAAAACTGAGGTACAGATCCAGCAAGTAGGATCATTTTCCACTATGTGAATGAGTTCAACAACTAGGGGATGATAGGTCAAAAAAGGGGAAACATGGCATCCTAACACCACCAGCCGCAGTCATCCTGACTGCTAACTTGGACTATTGGAGACATATTATGCTTAGCCAATCTCTACTATTCCCAATATAAGGCCCAAACTCCGTATCATGGACTAAGAGAACTTCTGGATCTACACCTTAATTATCTCTATACCTTCTCCTATTCTCCCTCACTCTACTCGCACTCTGAGTTACTCTTAGTTCCCTTGTCTCTTGGTCTTTGATCCACCCTTCTGGCCTCTATGTTCAGAACACTCTGCCTACAGCAGTCCCCAGGGTTTGTTTGAAAGCATTTCTGAGAAGGGAATATATGAAGGGAGATAATGATTTTGGACAGTTCTCACACATCAATCTCTTCTTCCTAGATCTCCAGAGAATTAATGGCTTTCTGCTCTCTTAGAATGATGCAATAGGCAAGTTCTATTTTCTAGCATCTGCAAACTACACAGCTTCCTACAGTATTGGAAGGCAAATTTTATAGTTTCTTTTTTGTAACCCTATGCTCATCTTCATTCCGATGTGGTGTTATTGAGTCCATATTCTTCTCACGGAAAACTGGCTTCCCAAGGGGTTGGTATCACACAGACTGTTTGTCCCAGTTGCTAGAGGCGATACGGAGGTGTGTCATGTAGCCACTCACTTTATAAAAAAAGAAAAATCCATTTATACTTTACCATAATTTTCAGCTATAGGGAGGAAAAAAAGAGAAACAAAATATGTTAAATTATGTATTTCAACCCAGATTGTTCCCTCTTCCTTATCACTTTGTTCTGCCACTGCCCATTTTTAACCTCTATTTTTTTTTTTTAGACAGGGTTGTTTCCTTATGCAGTGCAGGCTGGCCTGGAACTCACTATGTAGCCCAGGCTGGCCTGGAGCTTATACCAATCCTCCTGCCTCAGCCTCCTGAGTGCTGGAATTACAGGCGTGTACCATCATTTCCCAACTTTTAACTCCTGTTTTAGTGGTTATGTCTTTCATTAGCCTTTATCAGAAAATGTTATAAAATCATCCAAAGGTCCACAAAATGGAGCTCTTTAGAGTTAGTATGTACTCAGATAAGTTAGATATAAAACTTAAATCTGGGGTTTATAAATTTTAATACAAAAAAGAAATTTTATAAAGTAAATTTTTAAGATGTTTACTCTTAAATTTATTCTTTCTTTCTTTCTTTCTTTCTTTCTTTCTTTCTTTCTTTCTTTCTTTTTTTTTTTGTCTTTTTGAGATAGGGTCTCACTATGTAGGTCAAGCTGGCCTTGAGCTCACTTTCTAGCCCAGGCTGGTCTTGAACTTGCAATGATCCTCCTGCCTCAGCCTCCCGAGTGCTGGAATTATATGTGTGCGCCACCACTCTCGGCTTTTTATGATGCTTTCAAATGGAGCTAAGTGGTCCATGCAAGGTTAATCTTAAGAATCAATTTTTATTTGTCATATGCATTTACGTAAAATGATCTAATTCACTCATAGAACTCTAGCATATCTCATATAATTTGCCAGTCTGCAACATTGAGATGAGCAACTGCTAATTTAAGTACCAAGGCAATGTGCTGGGACAGAGAGCTTGGATCCTGGAAATGTTATGGTTAATTTTAAGTTCAATGTTTTTGCCCAAAGGAGAGAGTGATTAATATTCCAATAGACTTTGGTGACAGAAAAAGGGCTCACTTAAGAGTTCACCACACAACCTTTTTGTAGTTGAAAATACTTATCTAAGCCCAGTATTTGTCCTATTGCTTCAGACTTACGTATAAAGTAAAGTATACTGTCAATGAATCTCATTTTCACAAAGTTGATGCAATCATCTTCTGAGATGGAAACAGCCATCTTCATTCCTAAAGAAAGCAAAGAAATCAGTGTTTGTTCTTTTTACAAGGTGTGATTGAAAAATACAGTCAATGCTTACCTTTATAAAAATTTGTAACAATAAAAGATATATTACCATTAATCCTGCTGAAAATATTCCCCCTTGGTTTGAACATACCTACATAGTTGTTTACTGTCAAAAGCACTTTCAAGGGCTGGCCAGATACTTCAGCGGACTAAAGCACCTGCTTAGGCAGACGCAGGGACTGGGGTTCGATCCCCAGTGTACTGTGCCGGCTCCACCCCCAGGGCACACTGAGACGGCTACTGAGACTGGGCATGGTGGTGCACGCCTATAATCCCAGCTCTTGGGAGGCTGAAAACCGGAGGATCACTATGAGTCAGATCTGTGTAGTGAGATCCTGTAGACCTTGTACTAAAATACAAAAAAAAAAAAAAAAAAAAGCAGTTCCAAGAATCATGTTTTGAGTTGTGCCATCATGGCTGCCTCAGTTTCTTAAATCAACTCAAAACATTTACCTTTCATGATCATTTTCACTTTAGGAAAGAGACAAAAGTCACACAGTGCTAGATCCAGTGAATAAAATGGATGAGGCCACATGCAATTTTATTTTTTAATGTATTTAGTACAGGGCTATAGGGGCTCACTACACAGTTCGGACTCATACTGATCCTCCTGTTTTCAGCCTCCCAAGCGCTGGGATTACAAGCTTATGCCACCACGCCCAATCTCAATTGCTGTCTCAGTGCACCTCAGGGGCAGGGCTGGCAAGGCAGCTAGGAGTAGAACCTTGGTTCTAGCATCTGCCTAAGCAGGTGCTTTAATCCCCTGAGTTATCTGGCTGGCCCAAGGCCAGATGCAACCTTTCTGCATGGGACAGCACTCAGCAGCAGCACTCACCAGACTTTTTTTTTGTTTGTTTGTTTTTAAATCATAGCTCATGAAGACCTTCATGAAAGAGAACTTTCAGAGCTGCTTCGGAAAGTGGCAAGAATGATGTGATAAGTGTGCTCAAAGTGAGGGAGATTAATAGTACTGTGTCTTTTATTATAATACATTTTAAAAATGTAATCATTCACTATATATTTTGATCATACTGTGCAGATTGAAGCAATCTTTTATTACTTTTTCATTTAATTTTTTTATTATTAGTACATGTTTGCAGTACATAGCGATTAGATGCACTGTGGGCAACTGGTAAGTTTAAAAGTATGGTTTTTTTTTTTTTTTTTTTTTTTTGTGGAACTGGGTATTGATCTCAGGCCCTTGCACTTGCCAGGGAAGTGCCCACTCCACTGAGCCATCTCCCCAGCGCCAGTATGGGGTTTTGATGCTATTAATTCAAGCAGGCTGAAGGCTTCTCTAGCACACCCTTCACTTCTGCTTTCTTTTGGTTCTATTTTGCTTTTGAAGCTTAGGATGGGACATTCCTTGAAGTTCCCTTCTCTTCCTAAAGACTGGATTCACCAAAGAGGAAGATAATTGTCTTCAATCTTGTTTCTAAAATTTCCTTAATCAAGAAAGAGAGGCAGAGTATGAAAACCAAACACCTTGTCCAGAGCCAAGAGGCACTTTGGCCCAGGACCTTGTCTGTTTTCTGGGCCCATTGTCTCCCATAAAGACAACTTACTTCCCCTTCAAAGTTGCCTGCCCCCTCCAGCTCACTCATCTCTGTATTCCAGCTTCAACTGTCCGGCCCTGTGAAATTTCACGTATTATATGGCTCTGGGGATCATGCTCGTTAATAACCCTCCTGGTGCTTTTTCTCCTGTTAGTATGTCTGTTGACACTTTATTTCAGCTGACTTAGATGCTGAAACTGCAGAGGGGAAGTCTGAATTCCACATCACAAAAATGAGCAGGAAGCCCTCCTCTAAACTGTGGCAGTACCGTGGGTCCCTGAAAGCAGTTGTGGCTGGGGCTCTGGGGGAAGTGGTTAAATCACACCTGTCACTGGACACTGTGCTGTGTCCTCCCCCAATTCATATTCAGGCTTGGTCCCCAACAGGGTGGGGCCCAGCGGGAAGCTGGCCAAGTGCTGAGAATGGAGCTTAGATCTTATCCTGCAGTGGCTCAGCTACAAGTGAGAGTGACAGAAATAGTACAGCTCCTTACTGGACCACAGAAGCCTTCTCAGAGGAAGCAATGACTTTAAGGCCGTGAAGAGAGGCAGCATTTGCAGAGCCTAGGGAGAGTAGTCATGGAAGGAACCACTCTGCCAGAGGCCATAAAGCAAACAGGCTGACAGTGTGTGGCTTGCCTGGGGCCTCCTCATTTTTACCTTGAGTAAGGCAGTTGTATTTTTCAGGAAGGATGCATTTCTGAGGATTTCACATAGGGCAGAATTATTTGTTCCCTGGGAATCAATGTAAAGGCATGGTAGGAGATATTCTTGGAAAACATCGATCGATAACTGCTAAAATCTATACTTTTGTTTTTTGAGACAGGGTCTCACTATACAATTCATGTTGGCCTGGAACTCATTATGTAGCTCAGGCTAGTCTCAAATTTGCAGCAATCCTCCTGCCTCAGCCTCTGACCTTAGACTTGCTTTCTTTTCTTCCATTTTCTCAGTAGCATTATAATGTTTCGTATTCTTTCCACATAACATACAATGATAATACTTGGTTTTCTTTCTTTTTTGGTGGTACTGGGCCTTTGCATTGAGCTCTATCCTCAGTCCTTTTTTATTTTTTGATACAGAGTCTTGCTAGGTTGTTCACGCTGAGTGTAAACTTGCAATTCATCTGTCTCAGTGTTCCAGAGTTATGGTTTTACAGGCATGTGCCAACATGTCTGGCTGGTAGTTGAGCTTAACATTTTTCTTTCTTTCTCTCTCTCTCTTTTTTTTTTTTTTCAGAACTGGGGATTGAACTCAGACCCCTGTGCTTGCCAGAGAAGTGCTTATTCTACTGAGCCACCTCCCCGGCCCGTTGATGGTTTTTTTTTTTTCTACATATAACTTTTATATTGGAGTTGCTTTTTAGCATAAGTGGTAATAAGACACCTTAATACTTGATAACATTGTTATCAGATAGAAAAAGACTCTTGGTAGCACATGCCTGTAATCCCAGCACTTATGAGGCTGAGGCAGGAGAATCACCATGAGTTCAAGGCCAGTCTGGGCTACAGTGTGTTCAAGACCAGCTTGAAGTACATAATGAGACCCTTCCTGTCTAAAGATTAAAAAAAGCACAACAATTACCTGTGTGTCTCGAGAACTTCTAAGCTATTTAAGAATATCTCAACTTATAAATCCCAACATGAGGCAGGTAGTTCTACAGGTAGAAGAGACACTTCCATAGGGCAACAGTGTTAACAGCTTTCTTAACAACTTATTTGTCTTACCAACTTTGAAATTTTATTCTAGATAAGCTATTTCATGAAAAAGAATTCACATTTTTCCATTTTGACTGTAAGACTATTATATTATTTGAGACAGGTTTTCACTATGTAGTCTAGGCTGGCTTGGCTCTCACTACGAAGCCCGGACTGGCCTCAAACTCAAGGCCATCCCCCTCCCCCCTCAGCCTCCCCAGTGCTGAAGTTATAGGTGTGCACCACCACGCCCAGCTCTAAGACTATTATTTTTATATAACAGTTTTTTAAAATTTCCCTAATTCAAATCATAGAAAAGTAACTTATAATGTAGTTCTTTTCATGAAAGCCTGGGAAGGAGAGTCAGAGAATAAAAGCTTTAAGGCAGACTAAAGAGGTTTAACTTATTTTTCCCTACAAAGAAACCAACAATTTAAATACAATAGTTATTTTTAAATTTATTTGTATGTATTTATTTATTTTTGAGACAGCATTTCACTATATAGTCTAGGCTAGCAGGAACTCACTGTGAAGCTCAGGCTGGCCTTGAACTTAGGGCGATCTCCCTGCCTCAGCCTCCCGTGTGTGGGGATGACAGGTGTGTGCCATGCCTGGCTTAAGTGTATTTTTAAAAAGTTCAGTATGGTAGTGCCATACAGAATAGATTCTACTGGGCAAAACTGGACAGAGGCCAGAAGCAACTGTTGATAGGGCTATAAAGTAGGTTTTTTTTTCTTATTATGGATACAATGCAAGAGGAAGATCTAAGGAAAATCACTTCAAATTTTCTGGCTTGAGAACTTGTTCAGTAGTTACCTCACGAACTAAGAACCAAGAGAATGACAAAGAGCTTGTGAGGAAAATAATCAGTTCAGCTTTGCTAACCTAAGAGAGCTGTGACATGGAAGCCAAGGGAGAAAGGAGCCTCGAGGGGAGGCTGCTGGGAGTCAGAAGCTGCGCCGCCACCCGCCACCCGTAGCACAATCTTGACGGGGCCACTGTGAAGGTTCAGGCCTTGGTTACCAGCAGGGTAAAGTGAAGATCGACAAAGATCCAGAACAGATGGGCTGGGGAAAAGTGAAGATTGTAAGCTACTCTTTTAGGAAGATGGCTAGAGAGAGTAGTTACCTGAGAACACACAGCTTGCAAATGTCAACTTCTGGAGCTAGATCATGTTGCAAAGCAGAGCCCCACTTCCAAAACCTGGAAGTCTTCACTGCTCCCTCCAACCTTTCCTTGTCAGACACACGTGAGCACTGCTTTAAGTCAAGCCTCCTCACTTCCTGGCACCTTCCGCTTAATCTCGATACTGGTTTCTTGCTCCTGTACTCTCCCCTGCTCCACACTGCTGCCAGGCGAGAACTTTCTCTGCTTTTTATCCCCTACTGAACTGTCTTTTAAACCTTTATCTTTTAAACCTCAGTTTGGAAGACTTCCCAGACTCCTCCTTCCTAAGGGATCCATTCTTGGACTTTCCCTCCCGTTTCCCTCGCTTTCTGTTTATGCTTCTGAGATAGTTTTTTTTTTTTTAAATTTATTTATTTATTTATTCATTTATTTTTTTTTTGTGTGTGTGGCCAGCTCAGCCCACCAGGGGGCGGGCTGGCTGGCATGTGGTGCTGGGGGATTGAACCGCGGTCCCTGTGCTTTGCTAAGCTTGTTCTAAGTAGGTGCTTTAGACCACTGAGCCATCTCACCAGCCCCTCTGAGATAGTTCTTGCTACCCTGAGTTTATATTACTTGGACTGCAACTGTGTTTGCCTAGGTTTAGTCTGAGCTTCTGTAGATAATGACATCCTTCCTTCCTCAACATCTGGAATGAGTCTACAAGATAGCAGGAGCTTTATAAATGTGAAATAAGTACATAGTTGGTACAATAAACCTTCTAGCCATGACAGTGTAGAAAGGACAATATGCATTTCTTTTTCATGATTTAAAACTTTTCCATCTAAAAGTTGAGAGTCGTGTGCACACCTGTAATCCCAACACTCAGGAGGCTGAAGCTGGAGGATCGTAGTAAGTTGAAGACCAGCCTGGGCTACCTAGTGAGTTGAAGGCAGCCTGAACTACATAGCAAGGCCTTGTCTCAAAAAATCCCCCAAAAACCCCACCCTCTGTAAAAAAGCTACACACACACACACACACACACACACCCCCCAAAACAGAAGCTTGAGGACAGATTTTAAAAATTTAGAATAATTTGCCTAATATTCTTTTTTCCTAATAGTTTATTTCATGTGTTTATTTTGAATTCTTTGGTTTGTTTCTTGTGTTTTGTTAGCTCTCAATAGGCTAGAACAATGGTGGTGAACCTGTGGCATGCACGCTGCAGTGGCGGGTTGTTTGCCCCACTGAATGACAAGGGTGGCCTTCTCATCCGTGCTCCTGCACGCTCTCAGCTCTGGTCAATGAAAATTATACTTCTCAATGGATAAAAATGCTTTGGGTATTTCACCTAATAGTCTCAGGATTGATAATTTTTAAACAGAACTAACACAACCCCAGAAAGATCCTCCCAGGAGTATGCAGTAGCAATTTATTCTTGGAAACAAAACATTTTAGTAATACAAGCCTTTGAAAACTAGCCAGGAAAGGGAAAGGGAAGGGAAAGGGAAAGAGGGAAGAGGAAAGGAAAGGGAAGTGTGGACTGTCAGGACAGAAATTACTGAGTTCCAATTTTGTCTGGGGAAAGTACTTACTTAATTCCCAGGGTCTCAGTTTCCTCATTTGCATAATGAGGAAACTGGATCGCCAAACCTTACGTATTTTCCAGGCTCAACATTCTGCAATTTTAGACTCCAAGTTAAGCCCAAGAGAGAACCATTTACATATGACCAATGCCCTGGTAACTACTTCCTCATAATTCTAAGACAACACATATTTGTTGAATATTTATTATACATTCAGTATAGTTAAATTGTTGAGGACAAAAAAATATAGTATGAGATTAAATGTAAAAATGTCTTGAACTTAAAAAGCAGCTCTAATTATTTGTGCAGTCTCCAATCTGTGAAATAGAGGGTGAAATGATGGAACATGCTGTGTAATTACAGCTGGGAGGGCATTGTGACAGTAACATCATCAAGACCCAACTTTTTCATTCTAGAAATCATTTTGTCCTTGAAAATTGTGCCACTTTATGAATGTAAGTACTCTATGGGTTGTTGAAGAGGTGGGATAGGGTACTTAGGAAATTATACAGCTAGGCATAAAAGGTATATTTAATCAACTGCTAAATATAGACTTGAAGCAACAAGTCAAATGGGTGCAGTGTGAATGGGGATTAAATTTAATCTCAAAGAATACTCAAGTAGATGGAAGAGAGCCCGAGAGAGCACTTCTGGGAAGACCACACCAATTGATGCTCTCAGAGAGACGACTGAAGGGACCTATGTTTTGACTACTAGACTAGTTCTGCTGGGAGCTACAGCCCACACAAGGCTACGGAGGGCGAGGCCAGCATGCCTCTGTGTGCCCTCCTGGCTTTTGCCTGGGAAGAAGGACAGCACTTTGGATTTGCCTCCCTAACGCTGTGGAGACAATCTTGGCACACCCCAGACAATCTTGGCAAGCTTTCACAACTTGGAAAATGTGGAAAGTGAACATTCTTGTTAGCTGCTTTTTATTAAATCTTGCCCTCCTTACTGTCCCAAAAAACAGGTTATAGAAGTTTTTGGAAGTTATATAGAAGAATCTGAATTTAATCTTACAAGCAATAGGAAAACACTAAAGCATTCTGAAGGAGGCTTTAATAGAATTTCAAATAGCTGAATATAGGCAAAAAGTAAAAAGATACTTAAGGATGTACTGATTTCTTGTTACTCAAATATTTATTCAGCCTGTCCCTAATTGGAAAATAAAAGCCTCTGTATTACTATGCAACCCACCCATCCTGAGGACCGATGTTGCAGATTTAATCATGATTACCAACCTTGTACAAAGTTTTTGTTTGCTTTTAACATAATTGACTCACAGTAGAGACTTTAAAAAGAGCTTATTTATTATATCATTCCAAAGCAAGGATTCCCAGAGGATCAGAGTCAAAGCTCTTTTCTACTGACTCGAGGATGTAATTGTCTTTCAGTCTCACTCCTTTGCAAGCTCTCAGGACTTTCCTGAGGAGGCACCCAGCGCGACACTGCCCGCAATACCCTGAAGGCAAAGTCTTCTACTTAGCCAGATGTTAGGCTTGCAAAAGAGAAGAACTTCATTAGCTCTAGAATTTTTTCAGAATACAGTTATTGTTAAACTGTCATTTATGATAGGCTGTTATGCTTATTATTTTAAGATAAATTACTCATATATGTTTTTAACTCTCTCAGCTTTTGTTTCTAACACAGTAAATTATAATAGTGTGCTAAAAAGTCAAGGGTACTCAATACTTTTTTTGCGGGGGGAGTGCCAGGAATTGAGCTCAGGATCTTATGCTTGCCAGGCAGCGACTGCCCCACTGTGCTGCATCTCCAGCCTTCAGTAATTCTTAAGAGAGGAAAGAAGACAAGGCCAAAAAGTTTGAAGAAAGCTTCTGCTGTGACTTTGCTTAGGCTCCTCACACCATTCCTGACGGTCCATATTACTGATGTGAAGGCTGAAATTATATATATATATATAATTTAAAAATATATAGAAATATATATAATATCTAGATATATCTAAATATATTATCTATCTATCTATCTATCTATCTATCTATCTATCTATCTATCTATCTTTGTCATATCCCGGTTTCCAAATGGAAAGGATGGTGCTTCTTACCCGTGTGAATAGTCTTCGGCTACAGAAAGTGATGCGGAGGCGCGAGGAGCCCCAGGCTGCACCGCCGATGGAGCGCAGGGAGAGGAAGCACGCTGGTCCTGCCGGCCGCCGCGGAAAATCATTCCGGCCGCAGCCCCTTGCGGTCTCCGGGCAGCAGGCAGCCCGGAAGGGGAGGAGACTGCCGCGCGCCGGGCCCGCCTCCGCCGGGCTGGCTCTGTCCCGGGCAACAGAACTTGGGGTGAAGAGTTAGAAATTACATCTCGTTTTCCGTAAAAAAACAAAAAAACCTTTCTTTCTTTCTTTCTTTCTTTCTTTCTTTCTTTCTTTCTTTCTTTCTTTCTTTCTTTCTTTCTTTCTTTCTTTCTTTCTTTCTTTCATCTTCTTGAGACACAGAGTCTCGCTATGCAGTTCAGGCTGGCTTTGATGGCTTTGAGCTCACTTTGTAGCCCAGGCGGGCCTCGAACTCGTAATCATCCTCCTACCTAAGCCTCGTGAGTTCTGGGATTGCAGCCATAAACCACCACGCTGGACTCAAAATATCACTATTTAACGAAAAGACTTCTCTTGTCAAAGTTGAAGCCCAGCCCTTCCAAAGCCTGCATCTGTCAGAAGTGGGCCAAGCGCACACCTACTTCATGTGCACGTCCAGTACTGCTCGGCCCTGTGGAAGCATCTTCCTGTTTCAGTCTCTGTTGGACACTTTCTTACACATTCAGCACACAATTTCCTAACAGACGTGGATTATCACGAACACTGGAGTAATTCTCATACTATAATTGTAGTGCTTAGCATACTTGTAAATCATAACCTCTTTTGGAGGATTTTACATAATGCTTAGTTCTTTCAACTTAGGATCTCAATGGGAGCTTTTTACCAGACTCATCTTGGTATCTGCGAATAGCTGGCAGAAGCAACTAAAAGGTACCCAGTGAAACAAAAGCAGTCTATTTTCAAGAAAAACTACAATGCATGCCATCACTAGGATTTTCTTAAGTAATTTTCTTCTTTTTTTTGCAACAGAGAAGGAAAATTTGCTCTGGCATAAGAGCACATTTATATACAGTTTCCAGAGCTAGAACCTTTGTTCCTGGAATACTGGCAAGATTCTACCTTCAAATATATGGAATCTGATTTTTTTTATACTTTTTTTCCCCCCAGTACCAAGGATCACAGTCAAGACCTTGTGCTTGCCAGGCATGCCCTTATGCCACTAAGCTATCTTCCCGGCCCTTGGAATCTGATTTAAAGAGATGTATTTTTAAGCTTCATATTCAATTCATTAAGAATAGTCTTTTTGAAATGCAACTTTTAAAAAGGAGCATGCAAATATTATAGCCTTGATAGGGGCTGGGGAGATGGCTCAGTAGAATAAGCGCTTCCCTGGCAAGTGCAAGGGCCAGAGTTTAATCCGCAGTTCCACAAAAAAAAAAAAAAAAAAAAGTCTTTGAGAATGATAAACAGAAATAAAATTACTTAGATACATTTTCTTGAACATGTGTGAATTGCATTACTTTGCCAAGGGTGGTGGCATTTTTGTTTTTGTCTTTTGCCAAAATAGAAATGATATGACCACAGAGGGGCTCTAGCATTAGGAAACAAAATATTTACATAATAAGCTCTTTTTTTTTCTGTATTTTTAGGGAAGGGTCTACAGGGTGTTTAGGGTCTCACTACTAGATCAGACTCGAAGTCATCCACCTTTTTACAGCCTCCCAAGAGTTGGGATTACAGGCACGTGCCACCATGCCCAGTCTTAATTGCTGTCTCAGCATGTCCCAGGGGAGGGATTGGCACGGCAGGGGCGGGATTGGTGTGGCAGGCCCAGAGATTGAACCCTGGCCCCTGTGCCTGCTTGCAGGCGCTTTAATCTGCTGAGCTATCTGGCCAGCCCTATCTCATTTTTTTTTTAAAGCAAGATCTTTCATTTCCTAAAGTCATAAAAACATAATATCCATAATAGTAATTACAAAAGAAGAAGTCTGTGGCAGGCTCACTGGAGGTGCTTGATATGGTGGTGACGTAGGAGAAAGAAAACAATAGCACTGCCTCAGCCTCCCAAGTGCTGGGCTTACAGGCATATACCACCATACCGAGCCATTTCATTTATTCTTGTTTTTTTTTTTTTTTTTTCGGAACTGGGGATTGAACTCAGGCCCTTACACTTGCCAGGCAAGCGCTTATTCTACTGAGCCATCTCTCCAGCCCATAATTGATGTTTGTTTTTGTATTTTGTCATTTCACTTATTCTTAACCACTTATTTTATACAATTAATTTACGATTTTAAAGATAAAACAAAATGCTGTGGTATAAACCTCATGAGGGCAGTGATGTTTTATACACAATCATTATTTCCCTATAAACACTTTAAGGAGCAGGTGATAATCACCAGTTTACATATTATAAAATATAAAGTTCAAGAGAGAAAATAAATCAGTAGTCACCAAAATTTTGTGCTTAATGGACCATTAAAAAAAAATCAGTAGCTGGGCATGGGGGTGCACACCTGTAATCCTAGCACTTGGGAGGCTGAAGCAGGAGGATCACCTCAAGTTCCAGGCCAGCCTGGCCTACATCCAGCCTGCACCACAAGAGAGATTCTGTCTCAAAACAAAACCAACCCAAACAAACAAACAAACAAACAAACAAAAAACCCAACAGTAATGATAATAATAAAGAAGAGAGAAACATTGAGAGAGGACAACTTTACATTTTACCAAATAATGATACTGACAAATTAAAAAACCCTTACATTTTTATTTCATAAAAGGATATTTTGTATAAAATAGGAAGTATTGTAATGACAGTACTTTAAAGGACTGTCATTTGATTTATGAAATGTACTTTTAATTTTAATATAAATAAAAATTTTAACACATTGGTGTTATTCCTTAACAACTAGAATTCTTTGACGACTGTCAATAACTTCACCAAATTATCTAATATGGTGTTTAGTAAAAGGCTTGTATTTCACAATGTCAACAAATCAAACTGAGTGCCTATTTTCTAGATACTTAAAACAATTGACTTTTTCACAAGCAGCAAGTTAAATACACACACAATGCTTCTGAGTCTTGTTGACAACTAAGATTTCAATGAAAGACAATAGGATAAAAGACCCACAATAATGTATGTGTGCTAAATGTAGTTCTCCAAGGTGTAATATCATGCAGCTAGAATGGATTAAGGCATGTTATTGACTTCTGTGGTTTTTTTTTAAGTGTATTTGCTTTTTTTTTTTTTCTAATGTATTTTAGTATAGGATCTACAGGGTCTCACTACACAGATCAGATTCATAGTGATACTCCTGTTTTCAGCCTCCCAAGCACTGGGATTACAGGTGCACCGCACTATGCCCAGTCTCAGTCACCTTCTCAGCGTGCCCTGGGGGCTGGGCTGTTACAGCATGCCAGGGATTGAATCACGGTTCCTGAACCGCAGCGCTTTAATCTTCTGAGCCATCTGGCCAACCCTCTGTTATGTTTTTCTTAAAACCAGCAACAGAAACTTAAGTTTAAAAGTCTACCTGTGAAATTGTATGTCGAAGTTGTAATGTTAAAACAACCAAACGTGCCACAAGTATTTCAAAATATCTTTTTCAAAAGCTACTACCAACAGATTGACTAAATTTACTAAAACATCCAAAAAGAAATTTTTAAAAAAGGCTTCATTCTGCTAGCTGGATGCCTGTAATCCCAGCCCAGGCTGAAGCAGGAGGCTTGCTGGAAGTCCAAGACCAGCCTTGGCTAGAGTGGGAGGCCAGTCTAAACTGCATAGAGACCCTTTCTCAAAAAACAAAAAAATAAGAATCAAGGTGTGATTCTGACCCTCTTCTTGTTGCTCTAAGAAGAAAAAGAGACAGGAATTGAGGGTGTGGCTCTAGAAGCCTTATTTGCCGTCTACCCTCAGATTTAGTCCATTCCTTCCAGCACATGACCTAGACCAGTAACTTCTAGATGAAAATAAGAGATAGATTTAAAGATGTGTACTTTTCCTGTTTGTTTTTGTTTTTTTATACAGGATCTGGCTAACTAGTTTTGATTGTCCCTGGACTCACTACGTACCCGCAGCTAGCCTCGAACTTGAGGCGATCCTCATGCCTCAGCCTCCTGACTGTTGGAGTTACAGGCGTGCGCCACCATACGTGCTCTTTTGCGGACATTTCAAATCTCTGGGACACACCGGGGTTTAATTTGGTCACTCTTTTTTGTTTTTTCTTGAGATCTATTTCGGATTTTCCTCTTGTTTCCACACGAGGAAAGGAGAGCCCTCTCCGATTCCGCAAGATCGGAAGTCTAGCATGACGTAAGCAGAGGGAATCTTCCTTTCACGGCTGCACCACAAGCCCGCCAACCAGACGTGGTCTGGGGGGCGGGGCGCGGCGTAGTCTGGTCACGTGACTCACGCGGGGGCTGCCGGGAGCCCCTGCCGCCTGCCGCTGCCTCAGGAACCACGTGGGGTCTGCCTCAGCGCCGCTCCCGCGCTTTCTCTGACTGACGAAAGAGGTCAGCAGGCGGCTGAGTAGGGACTTGGGGTGGGGCTGGAGGCTGAGGGCGCAGGAGAGGGTCACCGAGGGTCAGTGAGAGAGAAGGGGTGCGCCGTTCGGGCATCTTCAGAGAGGCCACGGCACAGGCAGGGAGGAAGGGGCGAGGGCACGTGAGGGAGAACAAGGCTGGAAATGGCGCGAGGAGCCAAGCAGTGTTGCGCAGGGCGGAGGAAAACAGTTGCGCAAGGCGGGGAGCGTGGCAGCTGGCAACAACCGAGCCACCAGCACCTACGCTTGCGTCACGGGGTGATGATGTGCTTAGTACGTGTCACAAGCGAGGACCAGCGCGTCGTCCGGCTTGGGGCTTTGGGTTATGAGAGAAAAAGGAACCGTGAGTACGGAGGCAGAAGTGCCCAGCTATAGGAGTTTTTATTTGGCCTGTGTGCATATTATCTTACTTTGAGAAAGGAGAGAGGTGTAAGGGGGCAAATTAAAAGCAAAAGAAAGGGGACCTGAGGCGAGACACGCTGTAATACGCCATCCCTGCTCGGAAGCATTTGCTAACTTCCAAGGCGAAGTCGGCGCAGTGGTGCATGTGTAGCGTCCTCCGCACGTGAATGTGCTCACGTTTGTCCACACGCGGTTGTGGACGTGAGAGGTGTGATTGTGAAATATGGTGTGTTTTCATAAAATGCAGTGTAGTGGACCACACACTGCTTTTAATCCTGCGCTAAATAGCGCCCCTTTGCTGAGAGCAGAACCAGCCCACCGTTCTGGCCACGTTCAGAAGCAGTTCTAAAAGTCGTCTTTCCTATCTTTAGTTGTGTTGTCCTGAAGCCATTCTGACCCTTTACCTTTCAAGGTCATATTGACATTAGGGAACAGCCAGAGGTCGCCTGGTGCCAGATCTGGTGAATAAGGAAGCACCATGGTGTTTCTACAAACCTGGCTTTCTGTGGGATGGCACTCAACAGTAGCATTCACTGTATTTTTTTTTTTTTTTTTTATCGTGCCTCTTAGACACACAGGGCAGAGGACTTCTAGAAGGCTGCAGAAAGTGGCAAGAATGATGTGTGTTCAAGATGAAAGTGTGTTCAAAGTGAGGGAAAGTATTTTGAGGAAGCAAACTGCCAGTGTGCCTTTTACTGTAATGAGTTATTTTTAGCTTTCACTGTAGTTTTGATCACCCATTGTACTCTACTGAATTTATTAAATAGCCTCCCCTATAATTTGTTTTTACTGTCATAATATGTATATGTACATATTATGTATAATCAGATCCATTTCAGCATATTTTTTAAAAGTAATCTGGTAACTTTAATGTAGATTTCATGTCTAAGATGTGTAAGTTTAAACTTAATGTTATAGACTTCAGGGATAACCTTCCAAATCTATGGGAAAGGAATTTGATACTATATTTAGATAAGGTAGGGCAGTAGAAACAATCTTAGACTAGAAAAGTGAGGAGATCTTGTTTCTGGTTTGGCCTGGACTTAACTTGAATAAAAGATTGAATGAGATGAGCTAAAAGATGTTTTAATGTTTAGGTTTTTGTAAGTTAGACTAAGCTACTCCTGAAACAAGGCAGAAATGTCAAAGAGATTAATTTGACAGAGTATCTATAGAGAAGTAGTTGAAAATGTTGAGAATGGTAGGTTGGCCCTGGATGATGGAGGACTTTGGAAGTCATACTAGGGAATTTGAACATACCCTTGAGCAATGAATAGCTGTGGAAGGTGTTTAAGTGAAGGGAATGCAGTGATTAGAGTTTTAAATTGCTCAAAGAGTAGTTGATAGAATGAGTTAAAGAGGGAAAAGTCAAATGTAGGTAACTGACAGATCATGAGAACTTAATAGCAACAGTAAGAATGGAGAAAGTAAAGGATTCAAGAGAGCTATAGCATGGAGTTTATCTAAATTCTGACATTGCTCTAAACTTTATAGTTTGTGCTACCAGGATATGATGGAAAATCACCTTGTAAAACCTGATTCTAGAAATTGCAAGAGGCCGAGGGAAGTGGAGGTAAGCTACATGTTTGTGGAAGCTTACTTTTTATTCTGTTTTATGTAGTTGTAAGTTTTACATTTAAGAAAGTTCAATTGATAAATGGGAGCTTAATGTTTTCATATTCCAAGAGCTAAGATTTTTCTAGCAGGAATCACTTTGACTCCAGCTGCTTTTTCACTAAGTATAGACATGCAAGAAATTATTGGGATAGTCCTTTTTGGTAACCTGTGATCTACAGACAGAATGGAGTCCATGCTTTTATGACACAGAATTTAACGTAATTTTTTGAAAGATACCTAGATACTTTACTGATTGATCCTTTGCCCTATATGTAGTCCTTTACCTCTGCCCCATCAATTGATCTGTTTGCATTTGAGATATTTGTTTGCTTCTTGAACACATACTATCATATAATTTTGCAAGTACTTGGCTGTTGTCCAAATTATAGTTGTTGTAATGCTGTGAAAACATCTACTGGCTCAAGATTTAAGGCATATTCAAAATTTTATTTTTTATTTTTTTGGAGACAGGGCCTCACTGTGCTTCCAGACTGGCCTAGAACTTACAGTGTAGCTCAGGTTGGCCTCAGAGTCATGGCAGTCCTGTTCCAGCCTCCAGAGTGCTAGGATTACTGTTGTGTGCTATTATACCTGGCTCAAAATCTAATTTATTTATTAACTTTTTTCAAAATCTAATTTAAAACTTAAAGTTTAGTATTTCGAAGAAGGTGCTTTTTGTGTCTAAAAGTTTCCTTGATAATATAATTTCAAGTGTATAAAATATACTTTTCTAACATGTTTGCTTTTTTTTTTTTTTTTTTTTTGCGGAACTGGGGATTGAACTCAGGCTCTTGGGCTTGCCAGGGAAGCTCTTATTCCACTGAGCCATCTCCCCAGTCCCTATGTTTGTTTTTTTCTAAAAAATGTTTCATTTGTTTTTTTTTAACATTGAAGATTGAACCCAGATTCTTAAGCATGATAGGCGAGTATTCTACCACTGAGCTGCATTACCACCCTCTGTTTGTTTTTCTAAAGGAACAGAATGTATGTGTCCTAAGATTATCATTGGCAGTGAACCTATTTTGTTTAAACTTTTCTTAGCCTGAAATGCCAGACAGTCCACTGCTGTCCTCTCATGAAAAATCAGATTCCCCATTCTCTGACTATTCTGGATTATTTCATAAGGATTTGACCCTGGAGAAAGAGTTGAATGGTGATGTATAAAATCTTTATATTTTTAAACATTGATTATTTCATACAGAAGATTTGTTATATTTCATAACTTATTCAGTGATTTTTTTTAAAACAGATACGAGCAAGGAAATTAATCTAATGTTTTTTACATATGCAAAGATCTTAAGGCAAGTACTTACAGTATATTTTCTTAGCTGTTTATGTTAGAAATAGTTTTCTTCTGGAAACTGTAATGGAAAGTTTAATTCTGGCTGAAAAAGATCTACCAAGTAATTAAAACTTTAAAATTTTTATTTTATTTCAAAATACTTATAATAGATTATTTTTCAGTTCTAACAACAACTTTTCCTTTGAATATCTCTTTGTTTTGCTATTACCAGAGCAACTACTAGACTGGATATATTTTGGTCTCTAGTTAGGGACCATGGTACTAATGTTAAATTTTATGTAAATATCTCTTTGAGAAATGTGACACTTAATGAAATTAATGCTACTCATCAAATGATATTAAAGATAAATATCTATGGGTTTTATCTATATGTGTTTGAAGCCTGAATTTAAGTATTTGTTGACCTGAGATTATACTATATTATGAGGTGCTATTTTAAACTACTGGACAGTCATTATACTTGTGTAATGGTTTCTGTGGCTGTAAAAATAGTTTACATAGTTTAATATTAAAATTATAATGAGTAAGTTGTACTTTCTACTGTGTCAGAAGACTTTTTTGAGCAAAATTACATTTATGTATCTGTGGGACTAATTTAATCTTTCCTGAAGAGCAGGAGTACATTAATTAACCTCTCTCATCCAAAACCATTTAAATAAAATAGCTAATTATATAAATTACACTATATTACTTATAGCATGATAAAGAATATCACCATGATGTATTTAGACTTTATAACTTGTTTTTAAACTTTATAACTTTAGTTTAATGTAAATTTTTTTCCCCATTAGTGAGAGAGCAGCATTAGATGCATCCTACATTAATGAGATAGATGGACTCTTCAAAGAAGCTACTACTATTGAGAATTTTCTGATACAAAAAAGAGAACTACTGAGACAGAGGCTTACAGTAATTGCAAACACACTGCACAAGTAAAATGTGTAAAATAAGTTGAGAATGTAAACCTGTTATTGTTGTAATAAAAGAAAGACCTTTATACTTTGAAAGTTCCCTAATCATTCATTAAAATGTATATCTGAAATAGGGAATTTTTTTCTAGACTTAAAAGGGATCTTGCACTGGACATTTTTTAAAGCTGGAAATTAATATGAAATGTGAAACTTTCCTTTTGAGGGTTCAATGTTTGGCACATTTTCTAAAAACATAAATTATTTAAAACTTACATGGGTTTTTTTCTCTTTTTCTCTTGGACTTCTATCTTTGCTTAAACTTCTAACAAAAGGACTCAGTTAATTTTATTATGTTTAATAATATTGTATTTTTTCTTTTGAAAAACTTTAGGAAAGTTTATATATGACTAAAAAGAATTTGATTTAAAATTATTTTCTTGTAATAGACTAGTAAAATAAAAACCAGAAAATACTAACTGGAACCTTGTATGAATGGGTTTTTACACATAATCATGTGTGTAGTTAATGAATTGTATTCAGAAGTCTTAGCAGCAGTATGGGATAGAAGTTAGTAATTGAAAAGTATGGAGACTGGGTTAAACACTATAACTTTGGCAAGACACTTCAATCTTTTCATTTTTATTTTTTATTATTATCTAAAGAGAATACAAAATATTTTAAACATTAGAAACAATACAGAACTTCACCAAAGAAAACAATAGGAATTCACTTCAATATTATAATTTGGGCAGGGGGGATATTTTGAGACAGGGTCTCACTTGGTAATAGGGCAGCCTTGAGCTCACTACATAGCCCAGACTGGCCTTGAATCTTGGTGATCCTCCTGCTTCTGTTGAATGCTGGGATTATAGGTATGTGCCACCATACCTGGCTAATTCTATTGTAATTTGAGAGTTAATTTGGTCTAAAGTTTCCTACTACTCAGGGGTACATTGGTTCTCTAACAGTTTCTTCCTTTGATATAAAGTTAAAAAGGTCAGTATACTATATAATTACATGGGCTAACTATATTAACCAGATTTTTTTTTTTTTATATTTTAGTAAGGGTGTACAGGATCTCATTATGTAGATCAGACTTGTAGTGATCCTCCTGTTTTCAGATGTGTGCCACCACACCCAGTCTTAATTGCTGTTTCAGTGTGCCCCGGGGGCTAGGTTGGCACGGCACGCCAGGGATTGAACCCTGGCTGCTGTGTCTGCCTAAGCAGGTGCTTTAATCCACTGAGCTATTTGGCCAGGCCTTTTTATTTATTTATTTTTAACCAGATTTAAAAAAAAAATCTCAGTTTCCATTTTTCAATCATATAGATAGTGCAGTCCATATGAACAGTGAGAAATTTGGTTACATTTGCAAAAAGTATACAGGGAATAGGAATGCTTAAAGAGGACAATCTATTTTTCTTTTTCCTGTCTTCTAACTCTAATGTAAAATTTCATCTCATCGGATTACTATTTTAGAGCATAAACATCACACTAAATAAATACCCATATGAAAAAGAATAATGAAAGTAAAATAATATTTACTTTAAAAATTGGTTAAATATGAAACTGTGCTACCAAGTTGGTTTGAAACTGTCTCATTGCTATTTGTTTCTCAATAAAATTATGGGGGAAATAATTGGTTAAATGAACAGGATAGAAGTCAACAAAGTACTGGAAATGAAATTTAAAAATTCAGTGCAGCAGAAGATTATATTTAATATGACATGCCACCAGAATTTGAATTATTTTGTTGGGAGTTCTTTAATGTTTGGAATAAAAAGATAATTCCACTGACCTATCATCCATCATTAAAAATGGTTTGAATTGTTTTTAGGCATTTATTTTTACTTTTTATTTTTTGATATTTTTGAGATAGGGTCTTGCTATGAAGTCCAGGCTGGCCTTCAACTCACTTTGTAGTCCAGGCTGATCTTGAACTCTCAGCAATCCTCCTGCCTCAGCCTTCTGAGTGCTGGGATTACAGACATGTGCCACCATGCCCAGAATAGGCATTTATTACTGTGAAAAGTAAGGTTAACAGACTACTTTGATTGCATTTTATAATATAACAATTGTATTCTTGTCCTTTGCACTTTCAGGAAATTGATGTGACCATTTAATTTGTATGATCATAACTAAGGAACTGGGTCCCCCCAGCCCCAGTCCTGGGGATTGATCCAAGGACCTTCACAGTGAACTAAATCATCAGCCCCTTTTTAAAATTTTTTATTTTGAGACAGGGTCTCACTAAGTCAGTAAGTTGCCCAGGCTGGATTTGAACGTGTGATCTTCCTGCCTCAGCCTCCCAGAGTACTGGGCCTATAGGCATGTTCCACCATGCTTGGCTAGGGAACTGACTTTTAAGTCGCAATGTATATGCTGTTCAGAATGGCCACCTTCAGTTTAAAGGATCTGAAAGCCTAATAATTAAGACTTGATTTTAAAAATCACATTTGATAGGGCCAGGGAAACGGCTCAGTAGAATAAGCGCTTGGCTGGCAAGCTCAAGGGCCTGAGTTCTGCAAAAACAAAAACAAACAAACAAAAAAAAAACCACAAAACAAAAACAAACAACAACAACAACAAAAATATTTGATAGCTTTGGTACCATCTGCATAAACAAGAATAACTCCCAACTGGAGATGTACTGTTGTAGTGATTCCATTACCTTTTGGTTTATACTTTTAGTGTCATTCTCATTTCAATAAAATGTCGCAAGTTTATGAATTATTTTGCGTTACTGTCAAAATATATGTTCAACCGTCTTTGTAAATCATACAGTAGAAAATATACAATAAATTAAGATACTATGTTCTAGTACTGTTTTTACAACTCCCCTTGAACTATACTTACAACTTTTCTAGGAAGACATGTTAATTTTTTTTTTTTTTTTTTTTTTTTTTGCGGTACCTGGGATTGAACTTGGGACCCTACACTTGCCAGGCAAGTGCTTATTCTACTGAGCTATCTCCCTGGCCCAGCATGTTAATATTGAAGGTATCTCTTTGGCAGTGCAATGAGAGTTATTGGATAGCCTTTGGGCAAGAAGGTCAGAGAGGTAGATTATGGATTTCTGAAAAGGTGGAAGATATTTCAGGCAGGAAAAAGGTTTTGTTTGTTTTTTGGTACGGATGATTTAACCCAGAGTCTTTATATAGAACTACAATTATTTCTCTATTTTTATTATTTCTATTTTTTACTCTGAGACAGGGTCTTGCTAAGTCACTGCATTGTCCAAGCTGGGCTTGGGGTTTGGAGCCCCTTATTTTTTTAGTTTATTGTTTTATGTATTTGGTACAGGGTCTCATTATGCAACTTGGACTTGTAGTGATCCTCCTGTCAACCTCCTCAGTGCTGGAATTACAGGTGTGGGCTACCATGCCTGGTCATGGTGGCCAGCTCTGCGCCCAGTGTGAGGGCGAGGCCAGTGGTGCTGGGGATCAAACTCCCCTCCGCATTTAGCCTCCCAGAGTACTGAGATTAAAACTGTGTGCCACCATGCCTTGCTTGGGGCAAAGTTTGTTTAAAGGTACAGAAGAACAAAAGCATATCATGGCATAAAAATGTACAAAGAACAGTGTAAAGTGGAGAGCAGGGGCTGACTTTTGTTTCTTGATATTCTTTCTTTCAGGGTCTCACTATATAATTCATAGTGAGCCTTGAGGTTCACTGTGTAGCCCAGGCTGGCTTTGCACTATTGGCAATCCTGCCTCAGCCTTTCCACTGCTGGGGTTACAGGTTTGTGCCACCATGCCTGGATAATGCCAAGAATAATCTTGCCTCAACACAATGTTTGATACATTGGTTCTCAAAAATGTTTGTAAAAGTAATGAAATCATAAATGGACATACCTTTTTTAAGGACATACCTTTATAGAGTCTTACTCATGTGTAAAAGTAAAGAATATAAAAAGAGTGACTAGAATGAAAATTAATAAAGGGAATCAGTGAATAGAAAATAAAAGATCAAATGAGAGGCAAAGGACAAAAGTTAAGGTGTTATCTGATTATAATGTTCTTTATCAACAATCAATAAATTTGGACTTTATTCTATGTCTGGATCTTTCAGAGGAGAGGAGTGGCAGAATGAAAGTGATCCCATGGATCCCAATCAACTGATTAATCCTAATGTGAGGACAGATTCAAGAGATTCAAATAAGACCAGTATTGGTTGTCCACTTTTAGTTTTTAAAATGAAAGAAAATTTATTTATAAAGTGCTTGTTGGGATAGTTGCCCTGAAAGCGAGACTAAGAGAGATTGATTACCAGCAGTTTAAAACCCTGTCTCTTCCCTCCCCACCCCATTCTGTCCTGAGCCAGGGACAATCCAGGAAGTTCTGTGAATGTGAGCGTACGGATTTAGAGATCACGGGATCTGCTGCTCCTGAACTGAGTTCAAAAATGTTTTCTCCAAACTTTCACCGTTTCCTCAGCAACCTTTCTGCCACTTCCGTGAGTTTTCTTTCGTTGAGAGCACGGCGGTTTCCAGGTAGGAGATTTGCCCTTGCCTTTTCCTGTAACTCTTCCTCTTCTTCCTACCAGTCTGCACTTAACTGTCTGTGCCTCCCCCCTCACCCCCCCTCCACCCCGCAAGATTATTTAAGGCTTCTGAAGCTTCCCCTTTGCATGGAGCAAATACTGGTAGCCGCTCCAGAGGCAGAAGTGAAAAGACTGAGCCAGCATTTGTTTGCTTATTGTTAGAGAAACAGCCTTCGTGTTCATATGCTTTGTTGGACATATCTGGGCAGGATTCAGAGTTCAGGATTTTATTGAATGTATGAGAGAATGAATATTCACTATTTAAACTTGTCTAAATTGAAAATTATTGTCACATATTACAATATAAATGTTTGATTCTTCTGTTTGCATTATGGGAAAATGCCTTCCTTAAAACCTGTGTTTTTTGTTTTGTAGCTTTCCATTATAGCTTCTATTTTTTTTCTTCTTCTTTCATGTTTTTTGAGACAGGGTCACTCTGCATAGGCCAGGCTGGCCTTGAATTCACTATGTAGCCCAGGCAGGCCTGGAATTTCTGCCCTAGCCTCCTGAGTGCTAGGATTATAGGCATGCACCACCATGCCTATAGCTCCTATTATTTCATGATTTCTTGAAATTTACTGATATAGAACTGTCAGAAATTATACTTATATGCACTATAAATTGTAAATGTATTTTATTTATTTTTAAATCTTTATTTACTTATTTATTCTGTACAGGTTCTCACTGT